GAGGAATTAGATTAAAAGATTATACTAGAGGAAATTATGGTGTATTATTTTAAGCAGCCTGCACTACTATAAATTCGGTGTCGGCGATGAATATTTTTGCCATTAAAGGCCATTCCATTGGTAACCCTACTTGCCAATGAAAATTTCTTGTCGACACATACCGTCGATGAAAGTGCCAAATGTAATTTTTTCGACAGCAACATAGCCGTCGGTGATTACCAACACACAAATCCGTTGGAAATATCGACGGATTTTTCAGCAATAATTTTAGCGATAGCTTAGTTCAATGAAAATTATCGACGAAATTGTCGTCGTTATTTTCGATGGCAAATCCTCCCATCGAGAAATTCCTCGATGCTAAAATAACCTTCCTCGCAAAATAATTTTAAAAAAGTTATTATTTATTGTTCGTTGATAATTAATTATTTCGTCGTGATCCATTGCTATTCGCAATGAAAATTGACTATCGATAAATTTTCATTGCTGATGCTCTACTTTCTAGTAGTGATTGGTACTATGAAGTATTAGAAAAATGTACAAAAATTATCATAATATTTTTATCTGTAACTTTTCTTATACATACATTTCTAACAACTGATTTTTTTTTCCTTGAATTTTTAGTTTATGTGATCTTTTAAGATTTTCTACTTGTAAAAACCTTGTTACTTCTAAGAATTTTTTTAATCTACAATTGATTTTTTTTTTTTTTTTGGGCTTATATTTGATTTTTTTTAAAATTTATTTTAAGTATTCCAATCTAATCAATATTTTCAAAACTCGTGATAGTGTATTAATCTAAACCATCCTAAAATTCAAATGACATTTATGTAGCATTACTTAATATGTCATATTATATGAAATCCATATCTCATCTCAGTTAATGTCACTTAATTATCACTTGCATGGTCCCATCAACTGTCTAGATAAATAGCTTTATTCATTGAGTAATGCTATTCATCCCCAATACGTAGTCTATGTGGCGCTAATATAGTATTAAATGATATGTGAAATTAAATAAGTCATTTAATTTCACATTTCATTTAACCTATCATTTACTGCCATATAAACTGTGTTTTCATCCCCATTGAAAATGAATAACATTACTCTTATTCATCAGTTGTATTTAGTTAGGAGGATAAGTGCCCCGTATTAATTTAATTTAGCTATTAATTACACCAAAAGTCAAATAATATTAAGTTAATCCTTATATGACCTAGCACGATGTGCCTAACGTATCATAAAAGCATGATCTTTTAGTACTCTATTCTACCTTAAATTAACCATCTTTTTTTTTTTAAAAAAAAAAAAGATAATTATGGAGGTCCTGACTTTTGTCATGGCCGGTCCTGTGATTTTCAAGGCTCGATGCGAACTCTATAAATTAGGCCCCCAAAAATCAACGTAAATGCAAAATCCAATAGTGTATTATGCAACATATTGCTAATTTANTAGTCAATCCATTCAATCTTTCTTGCGGTATAGTTGATCGAAGATAAATCTGATGTAGATGCAATTGTAATCGGTATGGTTAACGAAATTTTGTAAGCGACATAAACATTTGAGAAACAAACATTCAATATCTTCAAATATTATAGTATTTCAATTGTTGCTTCACTTGATATATAGTATCTCATGACTTGTAACTCCGAACATTATCTCTATTAATGTTCGAACGCCTATTATGTCCCAGATATTTCTCAAGATTCATACAAGAGTTCAACAAACTTGAATAAGTTGCTCCCTTTAACCTTTTTCGAATTAAACAAAAATTCAAATGTGTC